ATATCATGTTAAATGATGATGAAAATTTTGTGTTGAAACTTTGAGAAAAGTTTTCTCAAATGAGAAAAAATGGCTTCAAGAAAGATCTTCCGGCACTTCCTTCGCGCGAATTTTTTCATGTTTATATTATTAATAAGTAATCATACGGTTTTTCTCGTTCAATTTGGAGTTAATTTGCACTTGTGAGTTTTTCAAAAAGCTGAAATTGCACTCGCCGAAGCGGCTCGTGCAATTTCAGCTTTTTAAAAACTCACTCGTGCAAATTAATTCCAAATTGAACTCGAAACCGTATGATTACCTATACAAATACTCTTTTTCTTTGGCCATTGTAGCTTAACAAAAAATAACACGCAAACTGCGGTGATGAGAATGACAATAACACACGTTGTTTGAAGACAAAAAAAAGAAAAAAAGCAAACAAAATAAATTTAAAAAAAATATAACAAACAGAAACAAAAGAAATATAAGCAACGTCCACATGCCGTTTGGGTTTTCTCATAGATGGCCTATACTTTGCGATCAGAGACGACAGACGAGTCTTATTAGGATTAGCCTCCTGCGTGACGAGCCCAAACAGTGTCTGCGTGGAGGCTATGGATTCCTATGCGAGCCATTCACGTTAAAATTAATGACAGGAATTTCAGTTATAATAAAGAAAAATGCCGGAAAATCGTAGCAGATCTGCAATATGTGTGTAATCAGTGAGCGATCGACGTAATCGATGAGTAATCGATAGGCCACGGAATCCTTGGTCAACGATTAGTCATCGATTGCGTACCTATTGATCATCGCCATTAATCAACTAATCAAACCGACTACTACTAAATCCAGACACAAAGGAGACTGGTGAAGCTTAAATCCAGACTTCTCTCGATCAATCAGGGCGAGTCCAACTGGTCAGAACGAACGTCGCAGTGAAGATTCCCGCTACTCCACCTTTTGCAATGTTGTTGCAAATTGATCATGAGTCATTGAGTCATATTTGTCATTTTCCCCCTTGGTTTCATTCATTTGTATCTGTTTACGTACTCTACGTAATGGGTATAATGTAAATTATACTCATGGCAAAGCGTGATATATGTGCGTCAGTCTGATGAATGATGCAGAAAGGATGCTGTAATTAACGTGTAATGTAATCTCAAGTTAACAGGTTTATTTCTTGCATTGTATTTGCAAAGACCTAAAGAGGTCATAAATGACCCTATTCTTTAAACGCGCTTATTGACCTGTCCTAATAGGTGCCTATAACAATTACCCATAATACGGGACCCTATACTAATACGCCTGACGGTAAGTGTCATTTATAAGTCCATTCGCAACTGACAGTAGTGTACTGAGTGCAGAGTAAAGTCTAGTTTTAAGGTGACTATAATTACGGTTTCCAGCATAAGTCCACTCTTCTCGCTTTGATGGTTCAATGCTCCCCCCATTAGTTAAAAACAAAATCCGCTCCCACAATCGCTTTTAGCAAATTTAGCGAGACAGTTGAATCTTGATCTGCTAATTACAACAGATAATGAAAATTGGGACCTCTGTACTCGTTTTCGGAGGTAGATTAGCAGCCCTTAAAGCAAAAACTGAATGTATTATCATCAGCTTATACCGTTGCTCTGGAAACGTATCATGTCGTGAAAATGGCTACACCTTGTTCACCAATGATTGGAAATTTGAAAGAAAATGAAAGAGAGTGGCAGTCAATCTATCAAAATAGAAGTGCTTCACAATACTGTTTTGAACCTCACTCATTCACTCACTCACTCACAACAATTTCGAACCGATAGTTTCCTTTGCCAGTGCCTAGCAGCGGCGTAGAGTGAAGGTTCGAAGAAAATAACCGGATTGAAAGCTAATTATTGGATGTAAAGAAATTCATTGATCGGTTGATGAGTAAACGCTGAGAGTTAAACGTGGTGGTCTAATGACTAAATGAATTTCCACCTTAATAAGACATTTTGGTTTTAACTAATTCGTCCACTTCATTTCCTAGGAAATGAATGGTTCTTTCTCTCTCACGGTCAAAAGGAGAGAGAGAGATGAAACAGACAAGCGTGAGCCTTCAATACGTGTATCATTTTATCGGTGGGCGAACTGCGTTCAATCCATAAATTCAAAATCTGCCATACTAGGATTTTTTCGTTCTTAGTTTCCTTAAAATTTTGATTACCGTTCTTTTAAACTCCGGTACCAAAAACGAGTAAATGATAGGATTGACACAAGAGTTCCCATAATGCAAGAATTTTGCAAAATATGCCACCTCATTGGGCATTTTCTGACAAGGTTTACAGAAAAATGTCACTATGTTTATGATTTGAAACGGCATCCACGTGAACACAAACACTACAGTCACTGTAAACAGCATCACAGCAAGCCGTTTGTCCTGCTCTCCTGACCGCCTAATGCTGTCTCTCCTGGCAAAGCGGAACTTCATTCTGAACCATATCACCACGTATGAGATGCAGATGATTGATAATGCGATGGCGAAGGAAACCAACAAAAAGTAGAAGAAAAACTGCAATGAAAGGAGCTGCTCTTCAAAAAGAAATCGTAGACAAGACACTAGAATGGACACCAACCATATCAAGCCGAGAAGCATGTAGTACACTCTGTTCTTGACATGACGGTGAATATGGGGCAAGCAAACCGAGAAGGCTCGCTCAAGGGCGATAACAGTCAGTGTAAATATTGAAGCACATCCGACGAAAACATCAACCACTGTGTAAATCTTATAACTGTATTGTTTCCAAACGCTATCGCCTTTATACCAGGCGACAATCAAGTGGTAAAGATACATGGGAATGGCAAATGTTCCAACCATCATATCTGCTAGGGCTAGGTTTATCAAGAAGTAGTTAGCACGCGTGCGCAGTAGCTTCTTGTTAGTGGAGAAGACGATGAGCGTGAGAACATTCCCAATAAGGATGACGACATCGACAATTCCAAGCGCCGAACTCCATGCTATTAATGCTGCAGACTTCATATGTGGCGCCTGGTGACCTCCTTGTTGTTGCGAGGAAGAGTTGTTCATTGTGATGGATTTATTTTGGAGGGGAACTGAGGAAGAAAACAAGCAGACAAATAAGAGGGCGTAATTTCAGTTTAAACGATAAATTGTTTTTTTCTCACGTTTCTAGTTTATAGATAAAAACCTGTCTTTTTTAGCGAGCACAGTAAGTCCAGGACCCGTCGACGACTTCAACTGCTTTCAAGCATAATACGTATTTGTCAATAGCTTAAATGTTACTCTTATCTATTCTGTGATTTGTATACCATTCAGCGAAATCTAAATCATACGTCTACAAAACCTCCAAAGCTATACTCTTGTACAGAGATTTTTTTTCATTCGCTTGAACTAAATGTAATTCAGTTTTTACTTCTTCGCCGCCTGTGGATTTTACTGAACTGGTGCTGGATAAGAGTCACCGCGATCGAGAGAACTCTGTTATAATAGAGATAAAAAAAATCGACCAAGAAAGGCAAATTCGATAGAAAACTATGGTCGTTTTACAGATGAAAAGTTAAAAACGTAACTTAGAAGAAAAAAAAGATGAAAGTTAGTATTATCTAAATGCTATAATATCATAAGGTGAACGCAGGGAAACAAAAACATCTCAGTGGGAATTATCCCTTACCTTCTGCCACAGTGGCACCCTGGCACAATTGTAGACGGAAACAAAATGGTTTGAATAGAGATGCAACGTTTGAGATATTTTAATTATGCGTGCCGGTCTTTATAAAACCNAAAAAAAAAAAAAAAAAAAATGTTTGCCAGCTTAATAGGACGTTGTATTAACATAAGCAAAGTTCTAAATTGACATGAATGCTTTTCTGTTTGAGCGCTGTAACAAGAACAAGCATTTAAATCATTAGGGCAAAATGATATCAGCGCATTTGAGACTAGGGAATTCGAATACGTCACTGATATTCATCCATATGGTATCTTTAGGTCTCTTCTTGAAGTGTTTTGAGGGTGTATATTCCAATTTCGCTTTCAAACCAACGTCTCGGTCAATTAAATTTAATGAGCAAGCACCCCTGATGCACATGTAATTTAGCATTCTGCGGCTTACCATTCAAAAAAAGCGTGCTGAGTATCAAAAAGCGCCAAAGAAACAAAATTAGACTTGTGTTGCCATGTTAACCAATAGGCACGTACGACAGTCATTGCTACTTTAATTACTTTCTGGTGGCATTCGAGTCGAGGGTCTCTTTGGCGTAGCTTGTTATTTTTCAACAAATAAACAGTAACCGGATTTGATAAATTTGTCAGTTCTCGCTATGTGGACTAAATTTTGTCACCGTTTATGAGGTTGTCCACGTTCTTAGCATTGCAGTTGTAGTTCTCGTGAACGCTCGGATAGGCCTAAGACGAGACTAGAGAATATTATTGAAACTGACGCACAGGAAAAGCAAACAATAGCTTGCAGTCTGCTGACTTTTTTCACTCGGTCATTCAATCTCGGGTAAATTTCGTTTGTATTCAGCCCCAACGTACATGAACGTATTTCTCGTCGAGTTCGGTCTTCTTGAACTCTTGCTACTAATTTCATTCTTCTTTGTGAAGCGCCATTTGCTCAGTCAATAAGTGAATCAGTAACAGTTCCTGTAGAATATGATTGTAATGGTCTACAATTGACTGTGATTATGGTAGAATCTTTCTCCATTTCAATTTTTGTAACTTTTCATTCGGATGCTAATCATTCTTGTGAACTCACCATGATTTGCTTTATAAGATGATCCTCGGAGACACACCGCCACGGGTTTACTTCGAGAATTTAAAAGTTAAATTGCCTATCACGCTTTGAATAATGGAGACTCGATTTCCTCAATACATGCATATTTTACAACTTTATCACTATATGTCAGATATGCAAAACACAACATGACAGCAATGACCAAAACCATACGACAAAGAAGAGTTAAGTAAACAACTTTGCCTTCCTAAAATTTTAAAGTTTGTCTTTCGTAGACGTAAATTCAGACATGAGAATGCCTTAATTGGTAGCATGTTTACAATGGCCAAGCTTAAGCCATTGTCTTTTGGCGACCAAACTGACACTAGCTAAAAGCGCTAACACTTTGAAAAATAATTAGTTCTGGCATTATTGGAGTGAAAAGGAATTAGCTGGGATATGTAAATGTAAATATCTTTGGTTAATAGCTTCTTTCATAGCATTCACCCGTAACACATTTCTTTATAAAAGGTTACAAGTGCTAGAAGAGAAACTATATATTTGAGCCAGGAAAGCCTTAGTAACAATAACAGAAAGATGTAAATTACTTAATTAAAAGTCAGGCTTTAGACACACGTCTCTGAAATAGAAAAAAAAAAAAAAAAAAAAAACACTTCATGTTACGAGCAAGATTCGAACCCGCGTCTCCCTGCATACTAGTCGGGCGCGATATCGACTACACCATCCCTTGGATTGGCCACGTTCTATCTACTCGCATCACTGAGTTGCCACGTATCCAGCGTGGTTGCCTCTTGGTGTAGTGGATATCACGCCCTACTAGTATGCGGGGAGACGCGGGTTCGAATCCTGGTCGGGAAACGAACTTTTTCTTTCATTTTGGAGACGTGTGTCGAAAACCAGACTTGTAAGTTATTTACATCTTTCTGTTATTGTAAAAGGCATCCAAAGAACACTAATACATTAGTATGCAGCTGTCCACGATTTTATGTGTCCGAGTTAATTACATCTTGGACTTGCCAGTTTTACTGTTTTCAACTTAGTCTATTAAATTGTCTCTCGGCCAGAACTGATCAGTATAACTGGTGAACCTGTGAGCTTTAAATTTCTTATTCACTCCCGGGGTGTTACGTCATTGTTTTAACAAAAAAGATATAAATTTTTAACAAAAGTGCAGAGGAAGCCCACTTACTGAATTGAGAGCAGAATTTATTAGCATCAATTTATTAGCATTTGCTTCAAATGTGAAGCGCTGTTATGCGTGGTAGCTGTCTATATTTTCTCGGGACTTGCAATGACTTGACGGGTAATACTAGTTGAATTGTCATGAGTTAGCTTTGTACCTATATTTGTGACCCGAAATATTACAAGTGACTTACCATTGTTTCCTTGCTCTTTTTCGGTGCTTCTCGCACGAAATTTTAGACAGGCTATTCAAGTTCTATATCATTTTCACTTTTGATCATGTCAATACACACTAAAAGACTAATTGAGAAGTAAAAGCTTAGCTTGGAGAGTGTTTGCAATTTTAGATGTCTGCAAGGGGCATCGTTTAAATATCGTGTTACCAAATGAACAGATGCTACTTACAAAGATTATTTTTATTTTTATCATTATCATCATCATCATTATTATTATTATTATTATTATTAATAAATGGTTTCAATTTTTATTTTTTATTTTTTTTTTGAATAAAATAAACTTCATTTTGGAAATAATCAGGAGTCACTGCTGATATTTTGACTGATTAGTCCCTCAGGCTAGTAATTAGCAATTTGTTTTGTTACTGAAGTAAAAATTTAATTAAATCACTTCACGGCTTTTAGAATACAAAGCCAAAACATAATTCGAAAGGAAAGCAAGTATGCATCTATGTATGGATGAGCTGTCACATCAAAAGGCTACCGCTCTGTCATTACAATGGATCATTGTTAATAAATTTCAATTTTGTGTGGATTAGATATTACTTCGTTTTAGCATAATTAATCTCGCACGGGCTATTTGAAAGAGCTACAAAGCGTTTTGTTTTTTGTTTCTTTATATTGAATCGTTTTCCAAAATTTCAAGGAGCTGCCTTAACCAAAACAACAGTTGGAAGGAACCAAGTTGGAAGAAATCCCTCTAGATCCCTCGAGATGTCGACAAGAAGGAAATCAAACATAGTGAAAATATGACAGCCTTAGGGGATTTGAAGAATGTAATAATAGTTTAGTGAAGGATATCAATTTTAGTTGTTTGATCAACCCATATGTAAGCATCCGTCTGATGCTGATTTGTTTAAACAGAAAACAGGCTTAAGATTAATAATTAGTTGGATTTAGCTTTCTTGAAATGATATATCAACTGACTGCCAATAAATAGAACCGCTGGGTGTAGCGTTTTAACGAGTCGATAAACCGCCGTGCGAAGCAGACTGACGACTTTCAATTCCAGTGGGTAATGTTAGCAAACGGTTTGCGGAGAAACTAACAGGTAAGCTACGGCTTTAAAAAGTAGTCTTGAATCCCAGGTAGACATGTTCAAATTTGGTTCTTTCTTTCTTTATTATGCTCCTTATTTTCCTCTTAATATCCGAAGCTAATAATCAGCCACTGAAATTTCCTTGTAATAGTCTAATTCACACTTTACTGATTTCATTTCTAGTCTTTTCGATTCCATCAAAAAATCTTAATAAACATAGTAATAACAAAACACGTACAATTTCGATTCAGCTTCAATTTAGCAATGTGGAAGAGCTTCCTTTTTTACCTTGAAGAATTCTAATTGATGTTAGTTAAGTTTTGTATTTCGTTTTCGCTTCGACATATAAATACCCGCGGGGTAAACTCGTGGGTTGAAAAAAAATTTGAATTATCGATTGCTGAATGAATACATTAGTATTTACCCTTACATAATAGACGAAAACAGATTCTTAATATTAATTTGGCAGGATACCGTTGCTTTTAACCGACAAACTAGACGCTCTAAGAGCGTTTAATCGGGCTTCGTACGACAGAATCAAATCATACTTTACGAAAACGCGTATTGGACACAATAAAAACAAATTAAAGAATCAGGATATTTTAGCACAAGATTTCCGCTTAGATATTTACTATTCAAGTTGCTTCGTTGAGTATCCTCCTCATCCTATCGCAAGTTGTGAGTTTAAACCACTTTGGTTCAAGAATCAAGCACAGCTGTCTACGCATTGATGGAGAACTTGTTGGCAAAGAATTTTAAAGGTCTTTTCACAACTTATGGCGATTACATTGTACATGCTAGCAGAAATTATGCGAAGTTCGTTTACTGGTCGTGGCGATCCGAGTGAATTGTGCAGCTGAACAACTTTGCCGTGTTGCGATCTTAAACCCTTTTCAAGAGTTTCATCTCCTTTGGAGGGCGAATAGGTAAGCTCCTTCGGGAAAACAACAGTCCTAGGACAAGGCGCAAATTGCATTGCACTTAATTTGCATAAACTTTCAAGTTATGTTTTTTGCGGATAACTTCTGAGAATTTGCGACCCTTAACGCAGTTTATGAAGAAATATTCAAGCTACATATTTTTATTGAGTCAAGGCAGGAGTTCTTGTAAAAAGGAATTCATTTGTAAGAGAAGATGCGGCATTCTGTTGTGCTATTTATTTTGGTTTCATACTCGTCTAGTTCATGTCACGCAACATGATTTTCTTTAGCAGTCAGGCACAGTTTTCTAAAAGAATTGGCGATTGTTAAGACTGCTGAATATATTTGAACTACTAGTGAAATAACTGGCTAAACGATCGTCAATGCAGATTTTCCTTAG